GATTTTGGAATCTGGTTTGAATCCCAACTCTGCCACCCACCAGCTGTGTGACATTTAAAACTTTACCTGTCTGAATCTGGATCTGTTAGGATTCCTTGATAGTAAGCAACAGAATTCAGCTCTGAGCAAATTAAGCTAAAAAGAGAAATTACTGAAGCAATGAGGTGGCTCACAGAATCAGAGCAATGCTGAAAGAGCAAGGCAGGCAGCTCTGGGATCCAAGACGCGGGAGCTAAATGGGGGGATTGCATCGTTTGACCCCATTCTTCACCTCTCCCCTCATCTGTGCCCTTTGCAGGTCACTTTGCAGCACCCACCCATCGTGGGTGGGGTGAATTGCCCCAACCCATGACTCTACACTCAGGATGTAAACCCTAACCCTACTCCCCGCCCCACAACAGTAAACATCATGACTCAAATCTTTGTCTCAAGATCCACTTTTAGGGGAATCCAACCCAAGACAACTTAGTTCATGTCAGGGCACAAGCCAAAGTCACATTTTTCAAAATATCCAGGTTAACTAACTCAGAGCTCCATGTTGCTCATAGTGAAAATGGCTTTCTCTCTCTCCTGACTCCTCCCATAATGAGCCCAGGCATACCCAAAGCCCGTTTTGTTTGCATTTGAACTTACAAAGTCCAGGTAACTGGGTCACCTCTCAGGGGCTGCATTGTGGAAAGCGGGCAAAGAATTTGACTTTTAACTTTCCAAATGTCTACACTATGTGAATTTTTTCCACCTGAGTGCTCCCAAACGCCCCTGCCTCTGACCTCAGGTGACATACCTAAAGGAGGGGGTTTTCATCCTTTCCTGAGCTCAGGGTAAGACAGCATGTGAACGCCTGGATAGAGGGTCTTCAGCTGGAAGAGGACAAGCCAGAGAAGATGAGGCTCAACATAAATTGATACCCAAGTGCCTCCTTATAAAACTAAACCCTTTCTGGCCATGCGCGGTGGCTCACACATGTAATCCCAGCACTTTGGTAGGCTGAGGCAGGCAGATCATGAGGTCAGGAGACGGAGACCATCCCGGCTAACATGGTGAAACCCCGTCTCTACTAAAAATACAAAAAAAATTAGCTGGGTGTGGTGGCGGGCGCCTGTAGTCCCAGCTACTAGGGAGGCTGAGGCAGGAGAATGGCATGAACCCAGAGGCAGAGCTTGCAGTGAGCCGAGATCATGCCACTGCACTCCAGCCTGGGTGACAGAGCAAGACTCCGTCTCAAATAAAAACAAACAAACAAAAGCAAAAACACTAAACCCTTTCTATAATCTACCAAACGTGGATCTGAACGTGGAAGCCTTCAGTCTTTCTTACTAGTTAAAGCACCATCCTCTCCTTCATCTGCTCTGCCAGTGAACAAGGTCGTTTCCATGAAGGGATTTCATTAACCAAACTAGAATCCATCATAGAATCCAGTTTTGAGTGCATCGAGGAGCTGCTTCTTGCAAGAACTTTGCTGTTTCAACTCACCTTCCTCCTACCACCGCTTCTCTCTGAGGGCTCAGAAAACGTCTTTTTCGGAAACAGTTTTAACAGCAATTACAAATTTCTGACCAAAAGCTCTCTGGCTTTCATTTAAGCTTACCTTTTTCTTGGGTCTTTCTCCATAGACAGGGAGCATGGCTGGCGGGCACTGACCTTGATATCTTGTCTCAGTCCTGACTATCGCCTTCCTCCCCTAGAGGCAGATGGAAGCCAAAGAGGGAAAAATACCTGGGCCAGGTGAGTCAGCAGGTGTATCCTACAGAGTCACTCTGCAGAACCCCGTGGAAGCCAGCTGGATGGAAGGAAGGTAGCACCAGGATCAACGCACCTGGAACCATTAATTAAGCTTTGTCTTTTCCACCTATGAGTCATAGAGTTTAATTCCATTTACTTTCAAGGTTAAAAAGTTTACCTAACAATATGTCTGCAGTCAAAAACAAGGGCACGTTCTTGATTTGCTGATTGATTACTCCCAGAGAGACACACAGAAACGCACAAAAATCACTCGAGGTCATTTTCTTGAGAATAGTGTTGTTTTCAATTTCTTGTTATCCTAAACAATACTACTATGAATATCCCTCTCGGGAAATCTTTACCTGCTTTGTTCGTTATCTCCATAGAATAAAGTCATAAAAATAGAATTTCTAGATTAAACTTTAAGGAAGGTACATTTTTAAGACTTTTTTCTTTTCTTTTATTATTTTTTTTTTTTTTTGAGACAGGATCTTACTCTGTTGCCCAGGCTGGAGGGCAGTGACGCGATCATGGCTCATTGCAGCCTCAAATTTCTGGGCTCAAGTGATGCTTCCACCTCATCCTCCCAAGCAGTCAGTACCCCAGGCATTTACCACCAGGCCCAGCTAATTTAAAAAAAAAATTTTGTGGAAACAGGGTCTCACTATGTTGCCCAGGCTGGTCTCAAACTCCAGACCCTAAACCATTCCTCCACCTTGGCCTCATAAAGTGCTGGAATTACAGGCATGAGCCACTCTGCCCAGCCTCAAGGCTTATGTAATATGTATTGGCAAATCAAGCTCCAGAGAATCTGTATTCATTTCTTTACAATTAAAAAAGTTTACATGTAAAACCTTTATAAACCTGAAGACCCATGTGGCTTTGTCTTAGAAAGGAGTCACTTTCAAGAAACATAATTCAAATGTCACAAGTAATTTAGGGGCCAGGTGCTGTGATTCACGCCTGTAATCTCAGCATTTTGGGAGGCCGAGGCGGGAAGATCGCTTGAGCCCAGGAGTTCAAGAGCAGCCTGGGCAACATGGCAAGACTTAGTTTCTTGTTTTTGTTTTGTTTTCTAAAAATTAAAAAAATTAGCTGGGCGTGGTGGTGGGCGCCTGTATTTCCAACTACTAGGGAGGCCAAAGCTGAAAGAATGCTTGAATCTGGAAAGTCCAGGCCCCCAAAAAGTAAAAATAAAAATAAATTTGGGGTCAAGTGCAGTGGCTCCAGACTGTAGTCTCAGCTACTCAGGAGCCTGAAGTGGGAGAATCGCTTGAGCCTGAGAGTTTGAGGCTGCAGTGAGCTATAATTGTTCTATTGCACTCCAGCTTGGGTGACAGAGTGAGACCCTGTCTCTAAAAAATTAGTAAGTAAAAAAATAAATAAATAGTAAAAGTAATGTAAAAGAAATTATCTGAAAATCAAATTTACCTGACAAACTCTGAGCTCTCTCTCCCCTTTATACACACACTGAAACATATTCTGAGTAGTGCGGTGGGGGTGGGGGGGATCCTAAATGTGGTTCCATCTGGTGATCTCAGGCTGACCCACCAATTCAACCCTCCCTCTTAGGGAACAGCTGTGAGAGATGTTATTCTGAGGCGGCGTTAACCCACTCCAGTTTCCTGGATTTATACTAGCGGAGTGGCTGCCATGGAATAATAAAAAACATTCAAACATTCAGATTTAACGTCGTCAAAATACTATACCTGTTAAATTTTTATTATTCGTGTCTCCCAAGCGGATTCAAACATATAATCTTCTGGCCCTGTATCAAAGTATCCTTACCTCATCCATTTTCCTCAGGTCCAGTTGTTTGTAGATAACGCCTCCCCTGAGGCTCTGCAGCAACTCCAGCCTGCATAGATTTTCTTTCCTCCCCTTTGCCTCTTCCCCTCCCTCAGCATTTTATCATGTAGTTCAGCTAAGCCTCTCTCACCCAGAAAGACTTCAGAGAGAAGACTCTTTCAGAGACAAGGAGAAGAGACTTTGGGCTTGCAATTAGAGAAATCTCTTTGACTAGAACAGGAAGTCCGTTAATAATTTTTACCTAAGTCATCTCCATTTCCCCAGTTCTTACCAGTTTTGTGAGCCCAAGTGGGGAAGTCAGTTGCCTCCAAGTGCATAATGCAAAGTCTCCAGCTCCTCTCAAAATCCCACTCAGCCCACCCAGTTTCTCTGGGTTCACACCCAGTTCAGTCTATGAACTCCAGCAGAAGTATGGCTCCTGCCTGCCTCGTTGAAGGGAATGTCCCTCTGCTGCCCTCCTGTAGCAGCTGTGAGAGTGACGGCCTGCCCAGAATCTCCTCTGCTCACCTGGACTCACTGGCAGATGCAGTTCCAGGCACCATGACACCTCCCACCCAAGGCCTGAAGCTCTCTTCTTTTTAGCCTTGGGCCTTCTGCACCACACAGGGACACAACTCAAAAGTGAGGGAAATTCTGGCTCTCAGGGAATCTGTCCATCAGTGGGGGGTAGGAATTGATGGCTGCTGTGAACCACCATGAGGCATGTTCCACACGGTCTGCAGATCAACTGGAGTGAGCCCCAGTGGCACCCTGCTTGTTAGCATACCATGTATGGGCCCTTCTCCCTTCCCTGTCTCACTTCCCCTCCATCTGTGTGTGCTTTCCGGGATCCGCTCCCAATAAACTACCTGCACTCAGGTCTTTGTCTGGGAATCTCCTCGGGAGAAACGCAAACTAAGACAACTCCCCGTAGCACTCTGTTGCACTGTTTTCTAAGCACCCACTGTCTCCCTGGGGACCAAATGTCCATCCCCAGAGAAAGCTCCTACTCTGCTGAGGGTGGTCAGGACTTGGAGTTACTACAACGACATCTGTGGGTTGCCAAATCTGTGTGTAAGTAACCATGCCTTAACTCATCTCAGAGGATTCCATGAAAGCCCCAGCGGGCAGATGGTCCCAGGGGTCTGTTTGCTCCATTGAATAGGGCAGGCATGGTCCACAAGCGGAGAAGCCTCTAGCTGAAGTTGGTAAGTATGCACTATCCCAAAGAATGTGTCCAGGATATGTAACTGGCCACCCCATCATCTCCCCTCCTCAAGCAACAGAGCTTCTTTTGCCTCCATATCTGGAGGTTGCCCTGACCATGTAGAACATCTGCCCAATCGCAGCCCCTCCCCAGGGGGAAAGGGAACAGCTGGCTCTCCTGCCTTTGATCATGCGGGAGAGATGCTAAGAGGTGGGGAGAGTGGGGTTAGTTCCACTTAAGGTAGGAAAGACAGAATCACAGAATGTCACAACTAGAAGGGGTTTGAAGTTCATTTACCCACAAATTTTTAATTGGCAGCACTGTGGACTGTGTTCAGTCTGAGACAGGTTCTCTTTGACCAAAACAAGATTTTTGCTTTAACAAACCCAAAGAGTATTTTTAAAGTTCTCAAATTCCAGATTCTCTTGAAAACAATGGGAAGCTCTGACAAAGTGGAGTCCATGTTCCCACTTGCCAATAATCCGCTAGCTGGGGTTTAACGACGGGAAACACCTTTTCAGACCTTCAGAGTCCTGCCACAGGTTCAATCCTGTACGCCCAGAGCTTCCTGGGCACCAGTCATTTGAATGGGCAGTTCCTGTGTTTAACCAGGGAGGTCGTGGGAGGAGTTCGAACCTGTTAGAAGCAAAGTAAAGGGCTCCGGACTCTCCGGACAGATAGGCTGAGGCACTCCTGGGATTGTCTTTGCAGGGCCATGGGATCTGATAGTGGTGGTCGTCGCAAAGTTTGGGTGAAGACTTCAGGGGCTTTGAGCAGGGCAAACTGCCCCTATCCCCAGCTTCTTCCTGGGGGCCTCCTCCTTCATCGCCATCCCCAAAGGCCCACGCCGCACTTGTCGGAGCCGGGCTTTCCTTGAAAGGGTCACCTTCAAGTGGGCGCGGACGCTGGCACTGGGCACCTCCGGAGGACAGGACTCTCCGCTCCTGCGCGCGCGACCCGGGTGCGGTGCCACAGCTGGCGGCAGAGGGCGGTGCTCCCTGTTCCAAAGCGCACGGTCGAAACCCGGCTACTGTGGTCCGATACAGACGGGATGCGAAGGCGCTGAAATCCCTGCGAGGGGAGGGCGCCGCTGCTCGGGAACTCGCGTCAGCGTGGCCGGAGCTACGGTGCCCGCGCCCTGGACGCACCAGCCCGAGAGCACGCAGTGGGGTGCGGGAGCTGGGCACCCACCCTCGGCCTCGAGTAGGAGGCAGGCGGGGACCCCGGGGCGGAGTCCAGCGCGGGGCGGGGCGCACAGGTCTGAGACGCTGGAAAGAGCTGTGGGGGCGGAGCGCCAACTCCAGCTGGAACCCAGAGACCGCCACACGCCGGAGGAGCGCGCCGGGCGGAGGAAAAAAGAGGGACATCCCCCACGCAGCGGCTTTGCAAGTGCAAGTCCGGGTCCTCAAGGCGCAAACCGAGTGGCCCGCCCGCGCCCAACCATCCTGTGACCCTCGATCCGGCTTCCGAAGCCGCAAAGCGCACAGAAGGAGGCGCCGAGGCAGGTAAGGGCTTAGATCCTTGCAGTCCCGGGACTCATTCGGTGCGGTGGGGGGAGTCGCTACGACAAGGGCCTCCGACGCCCACTTTTTTTCTCGGGCATTCTGGCTGCTTTGCCTCCCGCCACTCTGGGGGCTGGCTCGAAGCAGGCGAGTTGGTTTCAGGCAATCCCCTCTAGGCCCTCTAGAACCGGGTAGGGGACGGTAAGCGGAGTCTGTGGTGTGCGGGCGCGGGCGGAGGGAGTCAGCGGGTAGCTGAGCTCGAGGACGAGCTCCAAAGTGCAGGGCAGGGCGCAGGTAGAGGGGCACCTTCCTGAAAGATGAGCAGAAAACAGCAAGCGTCCGTGGGGAAATTCCCGCGCACCGCATCCTCCACCCACCCGCCGTTTTCTTCCAGCCAGGAGGTCCCACAGCCTTTGCTTCTCGAGCCTGAATTTTTGGCTTGATTCCTGTCCTAGCCAGGGTGTCGCGTCTAGACACCGACGGCGCGGCAGCGTTGATGGGGCAGGAAGCGGGCTGCTGGAACGGGTTGCTCCGGGGCGGAGAGTGCAATCTACGAAAATGAGGCCTGAATCTGCCCCAGCCCGGGCGCGCGCCCTCTCATCTTGGGTTAGGGGACTAGAAAGCCGAGGAGGGGTAGGACTCCCGATTCTTGGTCCCAGGCTGAGCAAAGGCTGCAGGGATTGGTCGCATGAGACAGAGGGGCGACCTGGAGGGAAGACAGCTCCGGGTGTGGACGCCACTGAGATTTGCACCTCGCCTCTTGGAGGTTTTCACCTTGGGAAAGCAGCTGGCGGGCGCACCCCAGGTTAGGGTGTCTTTTGCTGGCGCGCAGTTCCTGTCCCTCGGCGTTCTCCTCCCCTCGCAGGAGTGGACCAAACGCGTTGTTCAGCTGGGACCCAGCATCCCGCGGCGCCCACATGTGGAGTCGTTTCCAGGTGTGCTGAGAGGCAAGGGGAAGGCCACTCACAGTTGGACAGCCAGGGCCCCTTTCTATAGGTGTTGGGGTCTAGGCTCTTTTTCCAGCCCCTCGTTGAAACCTTGTACCCTGGGGTGCCCTATCTCCTGCAGGCTCAGGGCTTCAGATACTGTTTTCCCTATTTTGAGACCTTGGTGACAGGACATGGTGCCTTTCAGGCAGGGTTGACTCTGGGTGGAGAACTAGGGCCAAGTGAAGGAGGTCAGGGAGCAGATCCAAAGTTGGAGTAGGGTGGGAAGGGCGGCAGAGGATTTCTTTCTCGAGCTGGTTCCCAAAGGACAGGGGAGCAGCAGGGGAATTCCCCTCCCCCACCCCACCCCAGCCTCCTCCACCTACAGCTTCCTGGTCATGCACTCAACAGATTCCTGTCCAGTCCCCGCTATGTACCAGGTGCCGGACTGGGCAGCAGGAATTTGGTTTACAAGAAGATTAGGACTCCGAGAGCATAAATCACTGGCCCCAGGTGACTCAGTCTGTCCATGTGAAAATTAACTTGGTGATTTCCAAGTCTATGGCTTGGTTAATACAGAGGAAGTGGTGTCCTGCTTTGGAGAGAAGACCCTGCAGCATCCTGGCCCTCCTGCTTCATTGTCCCTGGCCAACAGGTGCCACAACATTGTGACAGCTGTAGGAGCCTGGCGGGCTCCTGGGAGCAGCCTTGGAAATGTTCCAGAAGCCCCTGTGGGAGCTGATGTGTTGGGACTGGAGGATGTGACTGGGCAGACAAACAGGCTCTGGCCCCTGGGCAAAGGGCAAAGGTGCACATTCTTCTTGAGAGTTTTGGAGAGTCCGATCCATCCTATGCCATCCTTCCCAACAGCTGGGCAGCCCCGGAGGGTTTCCCAACTTCCAGATCTCAGGTCTCCTTTCCCGGCATCCTGGGTAGTTCCATCTGGTTAGGCGGTGGGTCTGGTTGGCCTATACTTGGGGAACTCAGGGAATGTGACCAGATGTTCTCCTGCATGTTGTCCATTGGTTGTGCCTCCTTCCAGGATCCAGGATGGCGAGTCAACTCTCCCCAAGGATTTGGGCAGGGCGCTAGGCTCACTGACCCCGAAAGAGCAGAAGGTCTGGACCCCCACCCCTCGCACCTCCCTCACACCACTTTTCTTGCGGACATCACCATGGCAGCCCAGAATGGAAATACCAGTTTTGCACCCAACTTTAATCCACCCCAAGACCATGCCTCCTCCCTCTCCTTTAACTTCAGTTATGGTGATTACGACCTCCCTATGGATGAGGATGAGGACATGACCAAGACCAGGACCTTCTTCGCAGCCAAGATCGTCATTGGCATTGCACTGGCAGGCATCATGCTGGTCTGCGGCATTGGTAACTTTGTCTTTATTGCTGCCCTCACCCGCTATAAGAAGTTGCGCAACCTCACCAATCTGCTCATTGCCAACCTGGCCATCTCTGACTTCCTGGTGGCCATCATCTGCTGCCCCTTTGAGATGGACTATTACGTGGTACGGCAGCTCTCTTGGGAGCATGGCCACGTGCTCTGTGCCTCCGTCAACTACCTGCGCACTGTCTCCCTCTACGTCTCCACCAATGCCTTGCTGGCCATCGCCATTGACAGGTGAGGATAGTGGGTGGGGTGAGTGATGGGGCCGGGCCCGGCTGTCTCTTTCCTCACTTAGGCTCTGAGAGGCTGGCATTGCTCCAGAGAGGAATGCTCACCAATCTTTGGAGGGCAAGAGGAGGTCTTGTTTCTTCACTTGTGTTCTATTCCCCCAGATATGAGCAAGACTGAGGCTGCTGAGTGGCCCATCTCTGGGCCATGCCCCCAGATACCACATGTGCTTCAGATACAGGCAGGCCACATGACTGTGTGGCATCAACACAAAGGGAAAGCAAAAAGGGCAGGCAGCTACTACCTAGAAGCCACATGAGAGTTAACTAGGGCAGCTTCCAGTCAGGAGAACACGTACCAAGCTTTTCCTGTAGCCACCCTCCAGGTGGAGATGTGAAACATTTCCATCACCTGCAGCTGTGCTCCTCACCAGTCAATCCTCCCCCACCAGGCAACCACCAATCTGATTTCTATCATTACAGTTCAGTTTCACCTGTTCTTTAACATCATAAAAAAGAAATCATACCATATGTGCTGTTGTTTCTGATAGACTTTGTTGCAAAGCTTATTTTAAAATGAGATAACAGGGTTTGTTTGTGCAAAAGAGGAAAGGACACGCTTGCTTTTGCTTTTCTGCATATGTTGGTGTGCTCATTTGCATACATTTGCATAAGATATTCCAGAAATCCTTGCTCTATTTTATTTTTTCCTTTCCTTTATGTATTTATTATTTTATTTTTTGCTTTTATTATTTTTAATTGACACATATAATTGTAAATACTTATGGGGTACAGAGTGATATTTCTATGCATGTATACAATGTGTAGTGATCAAGGTAATTAGCATATCCATCACCTCAAACATTTATCATTACTTTGTGTTGGAAACATTCAAAATCTACTCTTCTGGCTATTTGGAAATTATATAATAAATTGTGTTCATTATATTCACCCTATAGTGCTGTAGAACACTAGAACTTACTCCTCATCACCAACCCTTGCTCTACTTTAAATTTTAAAGTAAAATGTATAATAGCAGTTTATGACAAACCTTATACACGTTTTGTTTATGTGAACAGTTGCAGGCCGGCATCGGGCCATCACTGGCTCTGTTCGAGGGTGCAGTGGTCATCTTCTCATGTTTCTCCAGTTGTGTTCTGCTCCACCAGATATGAGCAAGACTGAGGCTGCTGAGTGGCCCATCTCTGGGCCATGCCCCCAGATACCACATGTGCTTCAGATACAGGCATGCCACGTGACAGTGCTGCTGTCTCTTGGTTGTGTCTCTTGGTTGCTGTCCACCATTGTAAGCTGTGCTCATTAGGATGATCCGCTTAGTCATCCTTTTTCCTTTCATCTTTTCAACTCTTAAATTTTTCCCCTGTTCGCAGTGCTGCTTAGGTTTGTTCTCTTTAATCAACCAGTTTAATATTTTTCATTTTGGTAATAAAATACACAGACGGGTGTAGGAAGCATCCTTCTTCCTTTGTATAATATGATTCCTGCAGGAAAAACGATTTTACTACAACTTTGATGCTCTCCAGCCCTGAAACCAGCCCTTATGAAATGTGTACCTATCAACCAACTGCACAAAATTCTCCAGGGAAAATGGTGCAAAGTATCATTTGATAGAAAGATACAAAGTCAGCCCAGGCGCGGCAGCTGACGTCTGTAATCCCAGCATTTTGGGAGGCTGGGACGGGCAGATCACCTGAGGTCAGGAGTTTAAGAACAGCCTGGCCAGCATAGTGAAACCCTGTCTCTACTAAAAACACAAAAATTAGCTGGGCATGGTGGCGGGTGCCTGTAATCCCAGCTACTTGGGAGGCTGAAGCAGAAGAATCGCTTGAACCTGGGAGGCGGAGGTTGCCGTGAGCCAGGACTGCGCCATTGCACTCCAGCCTGGGAAACTCTGTCTCGGAAAGGAAAGGAAAGGGGAAAGGAAAGGGGAAAGGAAAGGGGAAAGGAAAGCTGAAGCAGTAAGAATCTGGCTGAAACTGGGAGAAGTGAGTTGCAGTCATGAGCCAGACACTGCGCCATTGCACTCCAGCCTGGGAAACTCTGTCTCCGAGCGCGAGGCGAGCGGTGCTTTGCGCGTAAGCGGCGTGGAGCGGAAAGGAAAGGGGAAAGGAAAGGGGAAAGGAAAGGGGAAAGGAAAGGGGAAAGGAAAGGGGAAAGGAAAGGAAAAAGGGAAGGGAGGGGAGGGGAGGGGAGGGGAGGGGAGGTCAGATTCCTGGGCTCCACCCCACCCTCTTGAATGGGAATCCCTTGGGCGAGGTCCCAGAAATCTGCATTTTTATCTAATTCCTCGAGTGATCCTGATGCTCACTAAAGTGAGAGTGTATTAGTCAGGGTTCTCTAGAGGGACAGAACTAATGGAATATATATATGTGTGTATACATATTCCATATATATATATGGGAGTTTATTAAGTATTAACTCACATGATCACAAGATCCCACAATAGGCCATCTGCAGGCTGAGAAGCAAGGAGAGCCAGTCCGAGTTCCAAAACTGAAGAACTTGAAGTCCAATGTTTGAGGGCAGGAAGCATCCATCATGGGAGAAAGATGTAGGCTGGGAGGCTAGGTCGATCTCTCTTTTCACATTTTTCTGACTGCTTATATTCTAGCCAAGCTGGCAGTTGATCAGATTATGCCCACCCCGATTAAGGGTGGGTCTGCCTTTCCCAGCCCACTGACTCAAATATTAATCTCCTTTGGCAATGCCCTCACAGACATACCCAGGATCAATACTTTGTATCCTTCAATCCAATCAAGGTGACACTCAATATTAACCATCACAGAGAGTAAGTACTGTTCCTTTCCCCCCTTGTCCCACTGGAACCTTTGTCTTTATAATGCTGGTTTGGTTTGGTTTCGTTTTTTGTAACACTGGAGTTTCTTGGGAAACAATTGCCTTGTTACAACACCACAGACAACAGAGTGAGTCCTTTTACACCCCAAACCAACTCTGCCCCAGCCAACTTCCCAGCACCATCAGCAGCTCCATCAGTCTCTCAGCCATCCGAGCAGGGAAAAGTTACCATCATCCTTACCCTTTCTCCCTGTCCTACCTCCACTCACCCCACCCGATGTGTTCAGCCATATACCAAGTCATGGCAGCTCTCCCTCCAGCTTCATCTCTTAGAAAGTCATACCTGGGCCATCATAATGCTCTTCTAACCTGTCTTTTCACTCCCCAGGGGCTCCTGACTGTCCCCTGAAATCCATAGTTATCCATATTAAGCATAGGAATATCACCATTGATGGATCTTCCTGAAACATTTCATTGCTTACAAAATATCTAGAAATTCAAGTGCTTACAGAATACATGTCAAATCCTGAGCCTAGCATTCCAGGGCCCTTGTAATCTGATATCAATCTTTAATTTGCTCTCTTTCTAAGCTCATGCTATGTATGGAGATACTGATAGTATTTTCCAGGAGACAATGTGTTTTAAGCACAATAATTATGTTTTCTATCTTTCTCCACAGTGCCTAGCACAGAGACTTATACCTGTGTCTTAGCTTGGGTTACTCCCAAATCAGACTCTGAGACAAAGATTTATGTGCAGATAACATCCAAGAAGTAATTAAACAAGCTTTCACTGTGGGCAACTAGAGCATATTCCTGCTGAGGGACTCATGGAGCCAGCATAGATCACAGCTCTACAGAGAGTTCTTCTAGAGGTGGGAGGTAGGAGGGAGCTGGGGTATTTATACCCCATAAGTCATTGATGAGAGCTGCTCTGGAAATGCTGTACAGGTGGCAGGTGGTAGGACAGGGAGAAAGGGTAAGGATCCTCTTCTCCAATCAGGTTCTAAACTAATTGAAAAAAAATAAAGCAAAATGCTAAGAAAGATGGATGACCAAACTCTCACCTTTGCCCTGATGATGCATATTTTGGAGAAGGGGGCTTTTATCACTGGGCACAGCCTATCCCAGAATTAGATAGGCCTGTGTACTCTAACACACGTAGGGTGGGAGAAGCACAGGCCTCCCTGTCCTACTACAAAGAAATATCAGAAGGGCCACCCAATGCTGTTTCCATATGCCACAGCCAGGTCCATCCAGAGAGGAGCCCAGAAGAGGTCCTATTTCAAGTCATAGATACCCTAGAAGGAAAGGATTGGCCTCAAGAAACACATCTAAGCAGACAGATGAAAACAAAGACCTTGCAGAGATGTCCCTCTTGCCAGCAAATGAGTCATAGGAAATGATTAGCTTAAACAATGTGCAATAGCTTTCAACATCCCTTATGTATGTTTACCTTCTCAGAATATAACAAAAAGCCTTAGAGGTTGTCAGTGATGTTATTAATTATCCCCACTTCACAGATGAAGAA